TTTTCTTTTAGAATAATAAAAAAATCATTCTTTTTAAAATGATAATGACATTATTCTAAAAGAACAATAAAAAAAAATATTCTTTCAGAATGATGAAAAATATGGTTCTTACAGTATAATAATATATCATTCTAATAAAATGATGTAAAAATCATTCTAAAAGAATGATAATTGAATCATTCTAAAAGAATAATGTCAAAAATTATTCTTTAAAATAATAATGTATCATTTTTTAGAAACAATTTCTATCTTTTCTTTGGAAATAATTATTCGTTCCTTTAGGAATGATTTTATTGTCTCTTTAGGAATGATTATATCATTTTTTTGAATAATTAAATTATTTCTTTAGGAATGATTCTATGAGATAATTGTTTATTCCTTTAGAAATAATTTCTATTGTTTCTTTTAGAATAATTTTATTGTTTCTTTTAGATAATTCTATTATTTCTTTTAGGATGATTCTATTGTTTCTTTGAAGATGACTTTATTGTTTCTTTGAAAATGATTCTATAAAATGATTACTCTTAGAATATTTTTATAATTTTCACAAAAATCAGTTCAACAAATGGAAGACAGTCAGTAAAAAAGTGAGAAATCCAAAATTTTTGTTAATTTTAATAATTAGCTAATTTTGTGCATATGATCAAAATCAGCTAAGTGGTCCAATAATATAATTTTTGATCAAATTTGGATTTTCACCTTTTTACTAACCGTCTTCCAAATTTTGATCAATGATATACAGTTGATTTATTACCAAATCTTAAATCTAACTGAAATTTTACCAATATTATAACTGAAAAGTATTAGGATCAAAATAATGATAAATTATATATAGTGTAATAAATAACCATCAATTTTTATAACTTAAGTCAAATTTTTGCTAAATCATATGACTGAATTAGCTAAATATTTACCAAAAGGTATTAGTGCTAAAAGAAATGATTTTGACTAATGTTATAATATAATATTATAAAATTTATCATAAAAAAAACTTTTTAACATTCAATTTTTATAATTTATTAAGAAATTTATAAATTATATAAATTATATTAAACTTAATTTTAAAAATAAATTATTTTAAAAACTTCTTAAAACTTTAAATAATTATTAATAAAATTGATAAAATATATATTAAACTATATATTTTGTATAATAATATTACTATTAATATTAATTAGTTTAGAGTATATAACAAAGAACTATATAATTAATTTTACATAGAATAACTTAAAAAGTTTGCATATCTGTCTGCTCAAAATTAAGTAAATACGTGATTGATTACTTTATTACATTAATTTCAGACTTCAAACAATTTCTGTTTCTAAGTATTTAATATTTTATAAAAAAATTAATACTTTTTTTAAGTTTATAAATAAAGTTTTAAATTCATATTTATTATTTATCAAATATTTATTCAACAAATATTTGAATAAGATAAAGAAGTTTTCTAAAGAATTATTTAATAAATAATTTGAATAAGATTGATTATTTGAATAAAATCAACACTTATATATGCATATATTATAAAACTACATATAAATATTTTAATTAAATTTATTATTTATTAATATTATTTTGCAAAATACTTCTTTTAAAATTTAATTATATATAAAATACAATGTCAAGACTATAGAAAAGTTTGTATATATATATATTTTCCTAAGTTATTTTAATAATGTAATTGCTAAATGTTTTCAATTTTTCAAAATATTATATTTAAAATTATTTACATATAAAAGTTAATATTAATGATCAAAAATAAATATAATTTTATATTAAATCTTCTAATAATAAAAGTCATATATAGGATTATTTTATAGTTTTAGATAATAAGATCAATATTAAATGTTAAATATATCAAAGAGAAGATTAAATTGATAATATATAAAATTTATAATATTATAAATAATATGATTTATCATTTAGATATTAAACATGGAATCACAAAAAGTAATTCTACAAATTATTTATAAATTTTTTTTTAAAACTTAAAAATCTATTTAGTTTATTATTATTATATTAATTAATATCAATAATTAATTTAAGCAAAAAATAGGATTATTGAAGAATTTATGAAAGTTGCTTGTGAAAAGCCATTCTTAGAAAATAAACTAAAATTAAATTTACTATAATAAATTATATAAATAAAAATTATATCACTATATATATTAATATTTTAATTATTCAAAATATTTATATAAGTTACATATTCTGATTTTAATATTCTAGAATTGATAAAGTATGACTAATTATTAATGATATATTTATTAATTGGTTGAGTAACTTACTAGCATATTGCAATATTTTCAATTTATTTGTATTATTATTGATTTATAATATCATATAATAATGAATCTTTTATAAAATTTGCAATAGAAAGGAAAAAACTACTAATAAAAAGAAAAATAATTAATGTTAAATTTTGAATAAATTTTAGTTTAAAGTCATTTTTAGCATATAAAATTAAAATTAGCCTTTCTTAGCAGTTTTCTAATTATATTGATTAGATACTTAAAAAAGCTTTATTAGCTTATAAAAAAGATTATGAAAAGCATAATAATGGAAATATTCAGAATAATATAAAAAGATAATTAAATAATTTCAACTTTAACAAAAATTATTCTAAATAATAATTCTAATATTATAAAAAATTTAATTAATAAATATTTCACATATATCATATTATACTCATACTAATTATTTAAAGATAATTAAAATTTTTAGTGTTGTTAATATATTTATTAATCTCATTTTATTCTTTAAAGATAATTCTAAATAAATAGAAAATCTATAAAATCTTAATAGATTAAAATTATCTAAAGGTATACAAAGTTTTGCTTAAAATTAAAATCAGATAAAACTTAATATACTTAATATAGAATTAATTGTTTATATAAAAATATAATAATTTATTTAATTACTATTTTAAAATTTTTATAAGATTAAGTTAATTAGAATAATAGTAAATTACTTAATTGAATGTAATTTTTATAATTAAATAAATTAATATTTATTTATTTTATTCTATTTAGTCTTCTTTTTAATATGTTAATTTTGTTTATACCTTTTTATAAAAAACTAAAATATTATTAGATATTATATAATAAGTAATTAAAGGTTACCTGATATAATAGATTATATGATTTTTATAATTTGCCAAATCTGCTAATCCTAGCAAATATGTAAAATATACTAAATCTGCTAGATATATTAAATATATCATATATACCAAATATATAAGACTGATAAATAAGAGATATACTAAAATTTATTTTCTTATTTTTGTTTTTATATTTATTATTTTTATATTATTAAATTTCTTATAAATATGGTAGCTTTAGAACTTTATTGACAATAATGGATCTTTAGCAAAAAATTTACTTTAGTTTTATCAAAAATAAAATAGTTACTAAATATACTTGTATTAAAAATAAATACACTTGTAATAACCTTCAGAACTCTCCATAAACTTTCATTCTATAAATTTTAAAAGCTAAATTTATTGTTAATTTTGTGATAATACTAATTTTCAGTTTTTAGGATTGTAAAATAATAATATGTTATATTATTGAATATTAAAATTAGAGATTGAAATTAGTTAATTTTAAACAATTAATTAATTGGTTAAAGATAGATAACTTGTTAATCAGTTAAAGGTTTTCTTTAATTAGTCAAAATAATTAATTTTAACTTAGACTGAAATTTGATTTTTGGTCAGAGTTAAGATTTTTATAATTACAAACATTTCATTAATTTATAGTTCTAGTCTAAATTATATTTAACTAGTTATTAACTGATTAAAAATCTTTAAATCAGTTTTAACTTCTAGTTTATATAATTATTTTTAAATTTTATTTAAGTTGCATTTTAATTGCAACATTAATAATTTAATTATAATATGAGTTATAATATAATTATAATATTTTTAATAATTACAATACTATTTTTATTGATTATTATATATTATACAATATGCTATTTTAAAAAAGGTTGTATCACTAGCAAATTAAAGTAATAAATATTATATTAATTTATTATATAAAAAATTTAAAAAATCTGTTAAGCAAGATCTTTTATCAATTAACTAATGAAAATATTAGAGTTATTATTATAAATTAACTTCTTATTATTTCATATAATTGCATACATAATATAAAAATAATATTAATAGTATTCATAAAAATTTTTATCTAAATTTAAAATCAACAGATTATTATTGTATCAATTATCTCTAATAATATTTTAAAATTATATTAAAGTTATTATTTATTTGAGTATATATTATTTGTAACAGAAATAATATATAACTAAGAATTAATAGATAATCTATATAATAATTTATTAGACTATTAATTATAAATAAAATAGCATTTTCATAAATTAATTATTTATTGCTTAAAATATATAAAGATTTAAATAATAAAAATAAAAGTGATATTTATAATAAAGTTATATAATATTTAGTTTATTAAAAAAAAGTTCAATAATGTAATCTATTAGAATGATGAAAAATATGAATCAATATTTTTCTAACCTTATTATGATTATTAGTAAAATATTTATTAATACCTATTACTTTTATATTAATTAAGAAGTTATTTTCAATATTAAACTTTTTTTATCAACTTATCATATCTGTTTAAACTTAAGTTGCTAGAATCTATATTATTTTAAAAGTATTATAAAATTGTGAAATTATTTAATATATTAAACTAAAATATTAATAAAAAAAAATATATATTTATTTATAATTTATGGGTTTCTAATTGCAAAATAAGATAGATAATGTTGAAATATTATTTGATAAAAAATTAATATAATGTTTTTTATAATGCTTTTATAAATATAAGTTAATTTTTATTGATAATTTATTATTTATAAATATTTTAATATATTCAAATAAATAGTTTTTATTATCAAATATTAATTATTCAATGAATATTTGAATATTTTTATTAATTTAAATAATTTGAATATAATCGTTTTAGCATTTTGAGAAAATGAAGGCATCACAGGTCTTAAACCAGAAGAAGGTGGTCTTAATACAAAGGATGTTGTTAGACGCGATCTATTAAGAAAAAGAGTTGCTTGAGAGGTTTTTGAAGTAGTTCTGAATCCTGAGGCAGTTGGAGGTGATGATATTGGTCTTGGGATTCTTGATAGTTATCTTTTATTCGCTATATTAGATGATATTATTCCTATATTAGCTACATTAGGATGTTATATTCCTAGAAACAATAAAGCATTTTAGGGGTATATCTTTCATATACATAATTGGAAGAAGAATATCACAAAATAAATATCAGGTTCTTTTCAAAATTTTGTAAAAAACTCTTCGTAATAATGTTTCCCAATAAGTCTTCTTTTTTTCTTTTTAACTTCCACCTTAGGATCTGCTATAGATTCCTTATAGGCCTTAGCTGTTTACATATACTAAATATATTAGATCAGAATTGAATTAAGTATATAAAAAAGGTGTATATGTGGTGAGTGTTAGGAAAATGGATCAAATTGATATTTTTTTAAAAAAAAAAGTACCTAAGTAAAATAGATGTAGATTTAGTCATCTGATTCAGATCATTTGTTATTTCAAAAAAAAATTTTTTGTTGATTTAGTCCTTTTTCCCAGCATTCACTTATATAGTAGGTTTGAGTAAGAGTTAAAAACTTTTTATTACAATCTTTCCTAGTAAAGTAATTAGTATTATTTACTCAGTTAATTTTATTCGCAATATTTTTCCAAAAGTTTCTCTTATAACTATTTGGACTTCAGTGATATACTTTATTTCCATTTTTATGTTCATCAATAAGTATTCATCTTTGTTTGTCGTTCTACTGTGCAGATATTTTACGAATAAGAAAAAGTTTTATTGAAGAGATGAGGTAGCGGGATAAGCAAGAAGGGCTTGCTTTTATATTTCATAATTTGCTAAAGCGCTAAGGCAAATAAGCTGGGAATAAATTAGCGTTCGTAATATATTAAGATTTAAAAACATATAATGATTAATTAAATAATAATAATAGCTTAGCTACTGCACAAAATCTGATTGGTAATGCAATTCTAATCTGTAACTCATCCTGTGATTTGAGTTGTAAGAAGGTTGCAGGAAAGTGCTAGGAACTGATTAGGAATTAGGGAAATCTCATGTGATATAAATTTTATATTTTAGCTATCCACGGTAATTGGGTCTAATTTAACTGAATCAAAAAATATGAATCTATTTTTACCTGAACAATCGAATAAAAATGAATATGATTTTATTATCCTTTAGATTGTCTAGCAGGTAAATTTGCCTGCAAAATTAAAAAATATTGTTAATTTCTTTATAAAATATTAAATACTAATTTTAGCAATATTTAAAGATGTTTCTCATAATTATTTTTAAAATTTTTAACTAGTTGCAACTTAAGTTACAACACTTTGAGTTGCAACATTTTATGAATTTTT